CGGGAGCTCCTGGGCACAGGGACTCCTGGTGGGCGGCCCTGGACCCGCCAGGCAGCCGACCTCCCCTCGCCCGGGAGCGGAGTGCCCGGGCCCCCAGCCCTGGCCGGGGCCGCCCTGTCCACCTCGCCGTCCCCAGTCCCATCTGCCCCGGCGCCCGCAGCCTCGGCCAATTAGTGGCCAGCGGCCGGGCTCATTAGCCCCACTGACATCTGGCGGCCAGATCCCGCCTGGGAGGCCGGTCCGCGGCGGCCAAGGGGCGGCTCCGCGGTGGCTGGACGCCTGCGCCTGCCCGCGGCAAGTGGCCGTGCCCAAGAGCTGGGGAGTCCAGGCCGTGGCACTTCCGGGGCGCCCCAATAATAGCTGTTGTTGACCTTTCTGCACCCATCACCCCAAAGGAGCCGGAGCCCTGCCCCTCGACCTCACAGTCCGGCCCTTTGAATCTCCAAGGTGGAACTTCCATGGCCGCCCCGACCCCACCCAGCATCAGCGTCCGCCACGCACCCGCCTTTCTTTCCGCCCATCACTCCTCGTCCCTCCGGTCTTCCGGACAACCAGCCGCCTCCCTCAGGCCGCCACGCTCCGCCCCCGCTGCCCCCCTCCCCAGGGTGACGGGAGCCCTCTGCTCTCACCCCCCGCGGCAGCCACACAGCCCCGAGGGTCCTGCTTCCCTTGCAGCCCCTGGGGCCAGCGGCACACCCTTGGGGATCACTGCCTGCACGGGGCCGGCCCGGCCCGCACGGCCAGCGTGGTGGCAGTTGGAGGCGGGGCTCGTGGCCAGGAGGGCCTGGCGCTGGGCGTGGGAGCAGCCTGCAGGCCCCCAGGGTGCCCGGCTGTGTGTGCATTGGCCTGGCCACCCGCCCCCACGCTCCAGGGGCCCGGTCCTGCGGCAGGCGGGGAAGGACGACCCTCGGGGGCGTGGGAGAACCCCGACATGGCCGGCTGCGCCCCCACATGTGTGGCCCGAGACAGGCACAGCTGGGCCACTGGCACGGCCGCGGTGGGCACAGCCCGGGAGTGGCCCGAGACGGGCAGGGTCTCCTCCGGTGCCAGAGGCCTCCACGTGCACCGTGGGAGCCCCGTGGGCTGTGCCGCGCCCCCACGCCCCCCAGAGGCCCCCAAACGCCGTGGCAGCGGGGTGGCAGCACCGGGCAGGGCCGGACCTGTGGCCAGCGCCTGCCCACCCACCTGCGCCCGGCCTGGCGGGTGCCCGGGGGAGTCCCTGGCGCCTAGGGTGCTGCATCGCCCCCAACTGCAGAGCAGGAGGGAGCGTCGGGGTGCGGAGGCGGCGGCCGGGCAGGAGCCGGCAGCAGCCCCGGGAGCAGGGAGCAGTCTGGGAGCGCCTGCGCCTCGGCGGG